ACATCTAAAGAATCAAAGCTAGCATCCACTTATGAAAGATGATGTAATAGCTATCCTTCTGTGCCTGGATGACTCCACTCAGGATGATTGTTTTCAGTTCTATCTAGTTACCTATGAATTTCATAATTTCATTTTCTAACAGATGAATAATAGTCCATTGTATAAATGTATCATATTTTCATCATCCATTTATTACTTGATGAACATCTTTGTTTCTCTTTCCTGGTTATTGTGAACAGAGCAGCGACGTACATGGATGAGTAGGTATCTCTGTAGTAGGATATAGAGTCCTTTGGGTATGTGCCTAAGGGTGGTATGGCTGGTTCATGTGGTAGATCTCTTTCTAGCTTTCTGAGGGACGTCCACACTGATTTTCATAGTGGTTATACAAATTTTCACCCCCACCAACAGTGAATAAGTATTTCACTTTCTCTACATCCTTGCTAACATTTGTCATCATTTGTTTTTAGGATCTTAGCCATTCTGACTGTGATAAGAGGAGAGCTCAAAGTATTTTTAATTTTCATTTCCCTGATGGCTAAAGATGTTGAATATTTTTTTAAATATTTCTCAGGCATTAACACTTCATCTTCTGAGAATTCTGTTTAGCTCCTTGCCCAAATTTTTAATCAAGTTGTCTGGTTTTGTTATGACTGGTTTTTTTTTTTTCAATTCTTTGTATATTCTAGATACGAATTCTCTGACAGATGTATGGCTGGTAAAGATTTTTCCCCATTTTGTAGATTGTATCTTCACTCAAATGATAATGTCCTTTGCTCTCCAGAAGATTTTTCACCTCATGAGATCCCACTTGTTAATTGTTGGTCTTAATGCCTGTGCTATGGACGTCCTGTTCAGAAAGTCCTTTCCTGTGCCTGTAAGTTCCACTGTATTTCCCACTGTCTTCTCTCTCAGAGTCACAGTATCAGGTTTTACATTGATGTTCTTGATTCATTTGTGATTGAGTTTTGTGCAGAGTGATAGATAGGGGTCTGGTTTCATTCTTCTACATGTAGCTGTCCAGTTTGAACAGCACAATTTGTTGAACATGCTGTCCTTTCTCCAGTGTATGTTTTGGGCCCCTCTGTTAAGAATCAGGTGACTGTAAAAGTGTGGACTTAAATCTGGGTCCTCAGTTCTATTCCACTGATCTGTTTCCCTATCTGTTTTTAGGCCAGTACCATGCCGGTTTTATTACTACAGCTCTGTAGTTTAATTTGAAAGCAGGGCTGATGATACCTCCAGCTCTTCTTTTACTGTTCAGCTACCCTGGATTTCTTGTGTTTCTGTGAAGAATTGGGTTGGAATTTTAAGGGGATTGTGTTGAGTCTGTAGGTTGCTTTTGTTAGGATGGCCATTTTCAACAATATTGTTCCTACTGATCCACAATCATGAGAGATATTTCCGTCTTATGATATCTTCTTAAAGTTCTTTCATCCTTTCACTTCCTTGGTTAGATTTATTCCAAGATATTTTAAGCTATCATGAATGGAAACATTTCCATGGTTTCTTTCTCAATAGGTTTGCTGTGGGAATGGATGAAGATGGATGAAGGTTACTGATTTTTGTATTTTAATTTTGTGTTCTGCCACTTTGCTAAACAAAGCCAGTGTTACTCTGATATCAAACCCAAACAAAAACCCAACAAAAAAAGTAGAAAAGTATAGGCCAATGTCCCTGATGAACATAGACACAAAAATTCTCAGATACTTGCAAGTCAAATTCAAATGCACATCAAAAATATCCACCATGGTGAAGATGGCTTCATCCCAGTGATGCATGGATAGTTCAACATATGTAAATCCATAAATGTAATCTACCACATAAATAGACTCAAGGACAGAAACTTCATGATTATCTTATTAGATGGAGAAAGGCCTTTGACAAAATCTAACATTCCTTCATTATAAATAAATATGGAAAAGGTAGAGACACAGGGGACACATTTCAACATAATAAAGGCAATATACAGAAAGCCCACAACCAGCTTCATGCTACAGAGAAATCCTCAAAGCATTTCCACTAAAATCAGAAACAAGACAAGGATGTCCACTCTCTCCATTCTTGTTCAATATGGTGCTTGAAGCTTTAGCTACAGTAATAGGACAAGTAAAAGAGAGATAAAAGGGTTACAAATTGGATAGGAAGAAGTTAAAGTACTCTCATTGTCAGATGCTATGATTCTATGTATAAGAGACCCTAAGACTCCACCAGAAAACTCCTAAAACTCTTTGTCTTCTTAAATGCCTCGTCATTCAATTTTATAGTTTTCACCAAAAAGGTAATGAATATATTCTTTTGAACTTGTGTTTAGTTACTTGATCATTTCCATTCATTTAAACATTAATCTTCTGTTTTATTTTCTAGCCCTATTACCGCACATATTGAAATGATTGATCTTAAACTGACTTTTCTTTTCAAGCTAGTTAATGTTAAGTTCCTGAGTTACTGGTAGTAATTCCATTGTGGGTTTTCTCTATATATACCATCATCTCCTCAAATTATTATTGGTTTTTCTTCCTCCCTTCCTGTCTAAAGAACTTTCACCTCTATCCCCTGTTTACCAAGCTGAAACTGCTAGTCTAATACTGAAAAGAACAGAGGATAATTTCTATCCAGATCATTCTTGTGTTGCTTTGCTCTGAAAGAAAAAGCTTTTGATAATTCACTGTTAATTATAATAATTTGTATAAGATTTTGTGGAACCGTGAAGACATTTCTTCTTATTTCTAATTTGCTCTAATATTTTTAATGAATAATTATAAATTTTAGTAAATGCTTGGGCATGTTTCCTTTTGTTTTTGCATCAATTTAGTAATAATGTGTTTCTTCTTTAAACAAGAATGCACTACAGCAACTGATTTTCAAGTGCGAAGCCAGCCACGTGCTCTTAGGAAACTCTCATGACATATCTTTTGGCTGATTAATGGATTTTATATGGATCAGTATCTACAAGTGATATTTCCCAATAATACTAAATCAAAGTTATGCTGATCCTGTAAAGGATATGGGTAGCACTGGCTCTCCAGAAGAAGTCATAGAGTGGTCTTTTAATATTTTCTACATATTTCCACTTTATGTGATTATCACAAGTTCATAATTCCTGGGTTCACTGCATTCTCTTCTGCCTAAACGCTCATTCCTTCCATTTTGTCCTGATGATAACTCCTTCATTGGCAACACTTTAAGGCTTTTAAGGTGTTGAGAGAGTTTTAAATAGCTGCGTTTCTGGGGTTTTGACATAAAATCCTTGGTCACTGTTACATAATTCCCTCTGCACATTGTTATCTACATACCTGGATATATCTTTTGTACCTCTTTTTTTCATGTGTACAGACTAGTTTTTTATCCTTTTTCCTTTATTTTTAACCCATAATACTATTTCTAAAACAAATTTAAATACTGAAAGGTCACAAATTAAAGGATCCCAAATGCTAAGGTACCACTCAAGCTGCCAGGCTGTTTTCTCTTTTCCTTCACGTTCCTTTTTAGATACAGACAGAAATTTCATATATCGTGTACTACAGAAGAAGCTAAGCTCTGTTAAGCTCAAAAAATAAGTCTAAAACTCCATCATTATGGGTTAAAAGGGAAACTTTAACTTTCATAAGTTATTCAAGTGAGTCTATTACAATCCATAAAGATTAGGAAGATTAGTGTTCATCTTCAACTGTTTTTGCAGAAATTATACCAGATTATAATGATCTTCTGTGCACAAACATAATCTCCCAGACATTTTTTAAGTCAGTGCAATGACCCATTATGACATTGCAATGATTTCTTGTGTTTTTCTCCTGAAGTTTACTATTTGGTCCCAGTTCTTTCTGACTTATAGGTAACACAGTACCAAACATGCTCTTTTTTTAAAGCTATTGCTCCTGGGTCAGAGATGGGAAACTAGGTTGACTGATCTCTTCCACTATCAATGACATGGGATCCTAAATGTCTCCTGGCTAGGGCCAGACAGCTCCCATCAGGTCAACCTGCTGAGCCTCGCCTGCATGCAGAAAATCTTGGGAAACACAAAGAGCCTTCACCTTGAGTGCGAACTGGTAAGAAGTCTTCAACTGTGTTGGTTTTCCTGAGAGCCTGATGGGACGACTGCTCTCCTCCTCCTTTTCCAGCGTCACCCTCCACCAATGCAGGAGAGTAAGTACTCTATCCTCCTTGGCAACATCTAGAAATAAACTGGAGCAGCAGGAATCTCAAAGATGGAGGCAGAGGCTACACTTCTCTTTTGTCCTCCTTGACTTCTTTTTGTTGTCCTTGTCCTACTTCCCATCACGCCCACCACCTTTTATTTATCTTTGTCCAAGGATTGGGAAATATACAAATAAACAACCTGCAAAGAGCCGAGGGCATAACTCAGTCGAAAGAAAGCCTGCCTACTGTGCATGGGGCCCTGGCTTCGGTCTCCATCACCTCATAAACCTGGCATAATGGCATGTGCACTCTAATAATCCCAGCCCTCAGTAAGCAGAGGCAGGAGAAACACCAGAAGTTCAAGGTCATCCTCAGCTACATAGCCAGCTTAAGGCCATCCTGGGTTATGCAAAACTGTTTAAAATAAAAAATTGAAAAGATCAATACAGAGAATTCACATGAAATGCTGCATTTTCAAACACCTGAAGCTCTAACACCAAAGGGATTGGCAGTGGAGGAAGGAGGCAGCTGCCAGTTTCCTAGACTTATTGATAATATACTGGGTTTGGGGCACATTGTTCAAAGAAATGCCCGTTGATGAGTTCCTATTTTCACTGCCAACACTGACTCAGCAAATGTGTGGCACATCAGCTTGGACAACTCCCTCTTCTCCTGGATCACTGGCAGTTGGTGTGCAAACCTCCTGAGCAGCCCTGGGTGATGAAACCTATCACACTAGCAGGAAAAAATGGGACTGTGACTTTTCTGCCCCCCTCCCCTTCCTTCCTCTCCCAGGGGCTAAAAGTATAACAGAGGCAGGTACAAGCAGCAACTGACTGAGCAGCAGTCCAGGAAAGATGCAGCAACTCCTGCTCCTGTTGGCCTTTATCCTGCTCCCTGGAGATGAGGCAGGTGAGTGACCAGCCCAACCCAAGAGGTCCTATTCCATCCCACATACTAGAGCCAGGTTGCCTTGGCACATCCTAATTCTGTATCATTGGGCAAGCTATTTGAATCCCCATCTCCACAGTTCTTATTTATAAAATTATGATAATATTAACACTGACCTCATAGAGTTGCTATGATGGTTAAACTGGTTAATATAGGAGAGTATTGGAAATGGTACTGACACTTAGATGTACCATATAAATATACACTATATAAATTCATTCAGTAGCTCGTGTGTCAGAGCCGGGAGCCAAGAATACAATGATAAAAGTCCCATCATCCCATGTCTAGATTCCCATCTAGTCCCATGCTGCCCGGGAGATGAACTCAGGAATGTGGGAAGTTCCCTGAGGAAGAAAGTACCAGGGAGTGGAGAGGGTGTGCACCTTTCCTCAGTACTGAGGCTACCCCTGGCTGTGTGGGAGCAAATATTGCCCTCCCTTCTGAAGGAGGAGGAGCACACTGAGACCTGGGAGGGGAACAGATCTCACTTCACGGCAGCAGTGGTTACTGCAGAGCTTGGTGTGTTCTCCCAGTGTCTGGTGTCCCACAGAGCCTGGGCCTCAGCACAGCTCCTCTCCTACTTCCCTTCCCCATCTCCCTTCCCCATCTGCTGACTTTTCCAACACCACCACCCCAGTACTGCTCTGAAGATTCTCAAACACAGAGATAAGTGGCAAATGCTTCCTTTCAGAGAAGATCATTGGAGGCCGAGAAGCCAGGCCCCATTCCTACCCCTACATGGCATATCTTCTGATCCAAAATCCGGAAGGACTGACCGCTTGTGGAGGGTTCCTGGTGCGGGAAGACTTCGTAATGACCGCAGCTCACTGCTGGGGAAGGTAAGGGACACAGGAGTTTCCCAGAGACCCAATATCCAGAAAACCTACTCACAGCCACCCCCAAAGTGATGCTGTTATAAAGAAAGGAAGAAAATGGAACAGAAGGACTGGGAGGGGGAGGTAACAGGCCAGTGTCAACACAGAGAAAAGGGCATGATCAACAACAAAGGGAGGAGGAGTGGAAGGTAGGTACTGGGCTCTGAATGTAAATAGCAACTATCTCTGTTTAATCTGAAAGCTCAAACCTCAAGGTAGCCTTTACTATCCTCTGCTCAGGGTTATTGGAAAACAGAGTGGAGGGGTGCGGGAGGGGGGGGCGGTCACTCTCCATCTGTGGTTGTCTTCGCTGAACCATTTATCCACACTGCAGAGATGCTAGATCTTAGCTCCTGCTTCTCTCAGCTACCTCCAGACCAACTCTTCCTTTACAGGTCCATAAGTGTCACCGTGGGGGCCCACAACATCCAGAGGCGGGAGAGGACCCAGCAACGCATCAATGTGCGCAGAGCCATCCGCCACCCTGACTATAATACGCAGAACTTCACGAACGATATCATGCTACTGCAGGTACTATCTGCCTGGCTCTGGTTTTCCAGGCTTGCCTCACACTGCCTGGCCTCACTGTGTGCAGGGACCATGCAGGAGGAAGTTGGGGCAGGGTCCGGGGTGGTGGCGGGAATATGGGGTCCCTGAGTGTTAGGAGTACCAGCTGAGCTGGGATGCCTGTATCTTCCTGACAGCTGAGCAGAAGAATCAGGCGAAATAAAGCCGTGAGTCCAGTGGCTCTGCCTCGTGGGGCCGGTGAGAGGCTGAGGCCTGGGACCTTGTGCACAGTGGCCGGCTGGGGCCGGGTGAGCCTGAGCAGAGGAACAAACGTACTCCAGGAGGTACAGCTGAGAGTGCAGGGAGACCAAACATGCAGGAATCGCTTCCGCACCTTCACCACCCAGACTCAGATCTGTGTGGGGAACCCAAGAAAGAGGAAGACTGCCTTCAAGGTAAGAGCATGGATAGACATCTGCCAGTATTTCCTGTGAGAAAGTGTCCGCGCAGATGTGGGGCAGCAGAGCCATCCTCCATCCCTACAGCTTCAGCCTGGGGACAAGACCAGGGCGGAAAGGGTATTTTTTTCTCTCTTCAGTCATTTTCAGAGGAATGACAGAACAGACCCACAGTACTCCTTCCTGGGGAAGGTGAGGGGCCTTGATGGACTGAACTGGAGACAGTAACTTCAGCCGGGACTGAAGCCTGGGGGCTGGAAGATCCAGGCCTGGGCTCCTGTGAGCCCATCACCTGTGGGTCTCCCCTAGCCACTGAAGGTGTCCACCAAACCTTGCCTTCTCTGAGAGTAGGAACATAGGGCAGCAAAGGTAGGAAGGCCTAGCTTAATGTCCTTTTCTGCCTCTGCCCACAGGGGGACTCTGGTGGCCCTCTGGTGTGTAACAATGTGGCCCAAGGCATTGTCTCTTATGGTGCCTCCAATGGGACCCCTCCAGCAGTGTTCACCAAGATAAAGAGCTTCCTGCCCTGGATAAGGAGAACCATGAGGCGCCTCACAGCTCGGAATTAGACTGAGACCTCCAATGCCTGACTCTGGCTGGGGCACAGGCAAGCTCCGGGGGATTGCCAGAGCCTTGACAAATGTTCCAGGGAAAGTGTAAATATTTGCTCATTAAATATCATTTAGTACTGTCTTAGTCTGAACTGCTGTCAAAATACCACATAACCTTGGTGGCTTCTAAGAAACAGAAATATATTTCTCCAAATTGGAGAGGCTGGGAAGTCTAGAGTCAAGACACCACAGACATCCTCTTGCTGCATGCTCCTGCGGTAAGAAGGGAAAGGAAATTCTATGGGCCCTCTTCAATAAGACTCTCATCCTACTCCCAATGGATGATCTAATGATCTAATCACCTCTCATGCAATTCCCTTCAAATAGGGGATCAGATTGCAACATATAAGGAAGATGCATAAACCCCAGGCTACAAGTATACAGCTAGCATATGCCTGGGCTGAGTGGAGCTCCTCCAGGAAAACAGTCCCCTTTCCCACAACAAAGAACCCCTCCACCTACGCACAGCTCAGGATGAGCTTATTCCCTCCATTCAACTTTACATTCTGTCATCTCACTCCCCACACAACTGAGCACTGAAGGAACAAATCTCTCCCTAGAGCAAGGATCTCTATCCTGTTGGAGAAACCTTCCTGTTAATACTGAACTACAGATAAAGACAGTCCTGACCAAAGATCAGAGGTGAAATTCTATTAAAAGCTCCATTTAATATGTGATTAACACAGCATCGAAAACTATTTGAAACAACAAAGATTTAATAAAAGGTATTAGAACAACCAGATAGTTATTTGAAGGTTGGGGGGCAGCAAATTGAATGAATTCCTCACACCACACTCAGAAATAAACCTCATATGCATAGAAATGTTAAACTATACAAGTATTAGAAGAAAGGAAAAATTAAAGAATTGGTATGTTTTAACAAATGCCCATGTTCATAGGAGCATAAGTCACAATAGTCAAGTTGGAAGCAAGCCAGTATCCATCAAAGACCATAGTTCTTGTCTTAAACCTTCTTTACCACCAACTGTACTGCAACCAGTGTTTGAATTTTCAGTGTGATAAAGGTCTGCTTCACACTTTGGTACCCTGATGTGATATAAAACTGCAAACAAAGTGTTGACTAAAGTAATAATATTTGACTTAAAGATTCCTCCATGACTACTTACACCAATATGATAGTCAGATGAAAGATTACTGAAATTGTATAATTTGAAATCAGACATTAAACACCTTAAAGTAATTGCATAGAATCAGCTGGGAAAGTTTTCTAGGTACATCAAAATGTCGCTTTCTCCAAACAGTGATATTTACCATCTGAATTTTTGCAGTTTCTGTAATCAAAGTGAAAAAAGGCTGAAGGGATCTCTTCTCAAACCCAACTGGCTACATATAGTAATTCTTTAGCTACATACAGAAGTGCATTGTTTTACATGTAACTTGTATCAGAAAATCATTTGTTTAATATACAATGTAAGCCATCAATAAAATTTTAATCAATAACACATATTTCCCAGTGCTCGGTCATCTGTATAGCATTGCTGCCATCTCATGGGAATTATCTATTACTTGCAAGTTCTGGAGGATGACAGTCTCATTATTGAGTATTTACATTGACAAATGGAAAGAACTCTTACTTATATTTTCTTATTTTTGAGAGTTTAATATATGAGTATTGTACTTGCATTATTTCCACCCATCCCAGTCTCCCTCCAAGTCCTCCCACGTCCCTCCAACTCCCTCACAATCTCTTGTCCTTTTCTTTGACTACTATTGTTGCACTATACATAAATACATTTATAAATAGGGGCTGGAAAGATGGCTCAGTGATGAAGAGTGCTTGCTCTTCCAGAGGACCCAGGTGTGGTTCCCAGCACTGACTTGGTGACTAACACTCTTCTGTTCCAGGGAATCCCATGGCTTCCTCTGGCCTCCACAGATACAAGGCATGCACATGGTACACTTACATACATGCAGGCAAAACATTCTTGAACATAAAATAAATAAAAACATTTAAATTTTTGTATATACATACATCTGTGTATGCATATTATATATATACACATATATAATGCACTGAGTCCATTTAGTTTTGCTTGTATGTACCTGTGTTTAGGGCTTCTCCCATGGATTTACCTCTCAGGGAACTAATCCCTGTAAAAACCTGAATTCTCCCTCCCTCAGCATCCATTGCCTGTAGCTTTTCATCTTGAGGTCTCACCTCACCTATGAAATCCCCCCATTCACCTTGGCACATCAACTACTTTTGTCATTATGCAGATCTTGTTAGTCTTCCATAATGTAGAGATTTCATTGGTGCAGCTCCCTATTGATAGCTAAAAAATAGCCTATGGATGAATCCAGTTGATCAGGAGAGTGCACCAGGACACAGATAAGGCGCCATCGGAATAGAGTTTATTAGCAAAAGAACACATAGGACAGATTCCCTTCCAGGCAGGAAAAACGTCTGCCTGGGTCATAAGCTGGGGTCTTTTAAGGGGGAGGCTTCTGCTTCCTGCAGAAGGTGGGAAGACGTATTTTTTTTAAGTTGGGCAGGGGAAAGTGGGAGAGTGGGACTGTTAAAACCTGTCCTCTTTAGAGATCACAGGGGAAGCCTGTTGTGTTGGCCAAACAGTGGAGAAAAGTCTGCTTCTCTTGACTTCAAAGACCAAGGTGCTTATCAACTCAGTTCCCTTTTCTCGGGAGCTTGAGAAGTCCATGAGAGCCTGTTGGTGAGGAGGCGGGGCTATCTGAACCTTAACACCTATCGTGTCTAGAATTCATTAACTAGCAGCAGGCATCTTCTTCCTCTGGCTATTACATTCTTTCCTCCTCTCTTCCACAATGTTCCCTGAGCCTTAGGTGTGCAGGCAGCACTGTAGATGTGTCACTTAGGACTGAGCACAGTCACTTGTTCTCTGTATTTGACCAATTGTGAGACTTTGTAATAGTCTCCATCTGCTGGATAAGTGGTAAGAGGTACTCTTGTCTGTAAATAAAAGCATGTGTATTTAGAATAAAGTAAGAAATTACATTGGTCCAGAAAAGTGACAGATGTAGGCTCTTCTTTGGGGTCTATGACTTCTCTTGTCATGTGCACCTGGCTATGTTCCCAGTACCATGCCTGAATTGCCTCCCTCCTATTGAGCAGACCTTAAGTCCAATTAGATAGCTGTTGCTTACCCCAAAATAAAAGTGCCACTATTACTCCAATAGAGATAATTTGCTAGGCCAGTCATTGTTGTGATTCATAGGCTTCACAGATGTGCAAAACCACTGATTAGTTTTCTCCCTTGGCAGTTTGCATAGTATCCTTGGATACTGAGAGCTAGTCTTCCAGGAGGAAGGCTTCCAGATCAGTTTCCACTCAATTGCTCTAAATCCTGTGCTCTAAGTATGTTGAGTTTTCAAAAATAGGGTCTTACCTTAAAGGAGGCAATCAAGGGTTATGGCAATAGCCTATATTATTTGAGGAGTCTCTTGAACTACCCTTACCAACAGCTTGAAGGGAGATTTCCCTTGCTTGGCACTGTGATTTTTGTTATATAGCCTTCAACTATACACACACACACAGAGAATGTGTATCTTTATTAAGCTTATGAAGTAATACACTCTCCTTTGGTTTTTCACACCATCCTAGCATTGTTTATCTCTGTGGAATGAACTGAGAGAGGTTGGAAATGGAGAGAACAGGAGGGGAGTTACCCATTCAGCCTTCTTCCTGTGACATTTACCTAGAGGCCTGGAGCCGCTGCCCAGTCCCAGACTCAAGCATGAGTAAACCCAAGGGCGGTCACATCTCTTTCATATCTTCCTGCTCCTGTCAGCACATAAGACAGCTTCCTGTATCTCACTGGCCTGGAGAGGTTTCTAGAGCTCCGAAAGGTCCTTGATACCTATTTCCATGAGGTCCAGCAAGCTCTGACCTCACCTTCACTCTCCTTTATTTCTCCATGTCTTCTTGCACACCACTCCACACACATATACGCTCACACTTACAAGTCTCACCTAAGTTCCTGACCCACTGAAATAGGTAAGTCTGGGCTATGAAGGAATCCTCCTCAAAGGAAAATGTGATTGAAAGGCCCTGGTAATCAATGCTGTGTTCGTCTCATGACCAAATCCATGTGATCAGGTATATCAAGCAGGCCCGAAGGATGTGAGGAACTGGGAACCCATTCACCATACTTCACCTGCTATTACAGTGTCTCTCATACCTCCCTGGCTCCAACACTCACAGCCTCCTTTAACCATTGCTATGATGGCAACAGCCAAGGTCTTCCTCTGATGCATGTCTATTCTATGCCTGGCAAAGAGCATTCTGAGATAGACTCTGAGTGGAATCCTGCCTGGACATCTGTCTAAGGTTCAGAACATATTCACTACCCAGTTGCTCAGCAATCTCAACATTTTTCAGCTCGTCCCCTGCTAATAGCTGGCAACCTCACTTCAGAGCCACAACTCCATCTGTGAATACCTATGCCTCAACTGCCTGTTGTTTAAGAGGGGACAGAAATGCTGTTCTTCTCCCTTTGTTGAGACATAAATGCTTGTGAGAATCAGTCACTGTCTAGGGCAGTGCTGGCTCTGGAGATACAGTAGTAATCATGATGAATACTTAGTAATGTGGTGTTGGGGTGACCCCAGTCTGCATTCCACAAATCATTGGGCTTTGTTGTCAGAGTCCCCTGTGGTAAAGATTGGGGTGAAAAGTTAATAGAAAGGTAATAATGTCCAATTCTGGTGTTGGAGAAATCGCTCAGCAGTTAAGAGCACTGGCTGCTCTTGCAGAAGACCACAAACAGCACCACCAACTGGGGATCAAGTCTTCAAATATCTGAGCCTACGGTGGACTTTTCTCATTCAAATCACCAGAGCTTGGAGCAGGTGCAGCATTTGACAAAACCTTTCCAACAATCAGAAGCATAAATGTTTATTTTGGAGAACGCTGTTATAAGCAGCACCATTGGGATGGATCATTATTTTAGAGGTAATTACAT